CCCCAAAACCCCAAAACCCCAAAACCCCTTTTATTATCAAGATGCTGAGCTGTAATAATATAACATTAAAAATATGTCAATAGAAAACAAGGAAGAAGATAAATGATTTGCATGCCAGCAGCTCTATCCCAAGACTTATCTTCAGTATATTGACGATAATAGTATCCAGCCACAGATGAAGACTAAAAATAAATCGTCCTCTAACGAGAAAGAGAAATCAGATCCCCGATTCCAAATAAAGCTACCTTTTTGCTATAATTGTATGCCAAACGAAAAAGTCAAGTCGATTAACAATAGGTGACAAGTCCCTGAGATGTCTGAGGATATCTTTTACAAATCTACTGACTGGCACACAGAAACAGGTAAATTTTAGTCACCCTTTTCTTAAATCCTATTAATATTTTTCCAATCACCACAATCTTATACATAATAAAATACTATCCATCACTCATCCTTAACTTTTCCTTCCTAAACCTCGAAAATCTCCCAAAACAATAAATTTCCCATCGAAAATTCTTTGAAAAATTTCTCATCAAAACAAGACCCGATTGTAAAATTTTCTTCGAAAAATTCCTTCCTCACCCTAATTTTTTTCTTCATCAATAATCTCAAAAGGGTCACAAAAATTGGCACTCAGCTAAATTTACTCTAGTTCACAGTTAGCACGCTCAGTTAGGGATTTTTAGCCTAGGATTAGAGACTTAGGTATAAGTAGAACATTTTAGGTAGGAAAATAGTTGAAGTTTTCATAGGATCTTTGTTAAGTGGTGGTTATGTTAATTGGTGTTATATAGCCCAACCCTTCCTCCCTCCTTCCAAAACCCCCTTCCCAAAATCCAAGCCCTCCAACCGTTCCAAACCTAACAGAGCCTCCAGGAGTAAACTAAGAGAACGTAAACGAACGTAAGTGCCAAAAGGGCCTCAAAGAGGTGACCTTGGCCTAAATTTTATTAGAATATGGACCAGTGAGTGGCCTGCTGGGAGCTGAGAGGGGATTAAGGGGTGGAAGGGAGTCTAGGCGTAGTTTTGGGCTATTTTGGAGAAGAAAGGAGGATAGTGAAAGGTGGGGATAGGAGGGGATTGTGGGTAGGGGTGGAAATAGGGGGTAGAGGCGTTGGGATAGAAGTTTTAGGGTTGTTTTGAGCTTAGTTGGGGAAGATTATGATAGTACTTGTTAAATTTGGAAATTGACAGAATGAACTTCTGGTAATAATTTTTCGAAAATTAAGCATGTTTCTGGTCTATTAAGTTATTTATCCATTTGATTATTAATTTCTTAGCTTTTTAGCTTTACCAGGCTACTATTCCATTGTTAACAGAAAATCGAGGTATTATAGCATCTTTAAGAAAAATAAATAATACTATAGATTTTGTGATACCTTTAAATTAGCCCAAACAGCGTGAACTTTCTTTTTTAAACTCTTCTTCCCATTCCCAATACAAAACTCAAACCAACACTTATTTCCCCCAATCCCTCCAAAATCCAATAAAAACATCCTCCTCCATCCAATCCCCCAATATCCCTTAACCCCCCTAAAACCCCCTAAAACCCCGATTTCCCCTCCCCTTCACCTCACCCCTTCCATCCCTCCATCCTCCCTCCCACACCCCCTTCAGCCCATAACTCTCAGTACAAGCCGAAGGTTCAGAAATTTTAGCTTAAGGTGAAATTTTAGGAATTTTTAGGATTTTGACTGAGAGAAATTGGGTGGAAGGGTTTGGGGGAGTAGTGGAGAATGGGGGTTTTGGAGGGTTTTGGAAGGTTTTGGAAATTTGATTGTGACAGAGGGAGGTTTAGGATGGGTTTGTGTGGTGGTTTTTTGGGAGGATGAAGGGGAGAAGTTGAGTTTGAATCAAGGTCTTTGGTTATTCAAGAAAGACTGATTTTCTTTTTATGGGGTGATTTCTTTGTTGATGGTAAAAAGATTTTGTTGGGACTGTAATTTGGAAATCATGAAGGCATCATTAAGATATATTTTTGGTTCTTTGTCATGATAGTCACAGCTAAATAGTTCGAACTAGTAAACCAGCTTTTGATATAGGATTCGTCTATAGTTAAAAATTGAATAGCTGTATTTAATTCACCTAAGTAAGCATAGCCTAATAAGATCTTGGTAGCTCCATCTCTTCCATAATTTCCAAGTTGAGTCTAATCAATCATGATCGAAAGCCTTCTTGTTAAATCAAAATCAATGAATAATAAAACTATAGCTCAATTACTTTATAAATCTCTCGGATTATTATCTCTTTTAGTGATATTCATGATTAACTAATTTATCAAAAATAACATTATTTTAGCTTACTCAAATCCTTCAGAAAGCTAGAGGAACTAAAGAATGATATTGGTAAGAATTTTAGAAGTGATCACGTAGAGGAACAAAGGACTAAGGAAAGCACTCTAAATGTAACCTCAGACCAAAAAGGTAACTGGCCTCTCCATTTTCTAATAATTCTTATTCTAAAGTATTATTAAACTGATTCTTACACCATTATAGATTTCCTCAACATAATGGCCAAGTACAGACAACCAGTGTGATTTTTATAGACGACTAAAGAACAAGAGAAGTGGAAGTGTTCAAGAGCAAAGACATATTAATCTTAATAAAAGCCAAGTAAATACAGTCGTTTTATCACAATAGAATGTTTTACTTTTGAAAGAACTCGATAAGAGCAGAAATAATGAGGCTCAAAAACCTTCGAAAATGATTCCTTCAAAAGGAAATAAATTTAAGATTATAAAGGTAAGCCAGCATAAAGTAACACTTTGCTTAGGTTAAGAAAAAGTCAGTGATAGGAATACACTCAAAATTAAAGAGCAAACCCTCGACAAAGCTTACAAAGATAAATAAAAAGAGCATATCAAGCTCTTCAGGAAGTTTTTCTGACAAAGAAGAATCTGATGAAAATACCAATGCTAAGACTAAGTGAGTGAACCTTCAAGCCTATATCTAACAGATGAAATAGGAAGGGTAGGATACCTACTTTGAGCACAAACCAAATGACAATGAGCCCCCAAGAATTTCTTAATATACCGAATCTTAATAAGGGAAAGTAAGTAATTGAGATCTTATATGAATAGTTCAAAGACAACAATTAATGAAAACTCTTCAAGGACGAATAACCTCCATCGAGACTCCTTAATCTCCAATAACTCCTCAAGGAATTCAAATTCTATTATCTTCCATAGAAAAAGCAACGGACTATCAACAATAAAAAGGAAAAATCTTAAAATTGATATTGACTGAAACAAGAGTGCGATTTTAAAATGAAATTTAAGTTCTAATCAGTTAAACGCCTCTGATATGGATAAAGGCAATTATCAGTCTTCAAGGTATCTTCCCTCTAAAAGAATATAGAATTAAGAATCCTCCAAAGTCTCCCCTAAAACCAGATTTGAAGCCTATCAAGAAACCTAAGAAAACTTGTGTGGTCAATGACATCTTTTATTCTATGTTAAGAGTAGATGACTTGATCTCTTGCCAGCCAACTTCTTCTGAAACACACAAGCAGATGACTGCAATTAAGTCTTACCTCAAGCAATACTCAGATATCTTTAAAACAACTCAGAAAGGGCTACTCCAGATGGAAATTAAAGAAGCAGACAATCTCTCACAGCTTACTCTATTCTTTAACAAGCTAAGAAAGGAGCTAGATTTTAAAGAAGAATTATTGAAGATTAAGTACAAAAGTATGGTGAACTCTTATGAAACTTCACTTCGCATGGATTTGGAGTTCCTTGAAAAGAAATGCAAGCACTTATGAGAAGTTATAGACTCTTACTCTCAGGAATTCAAAACTCCTACTAAGACTGAGTAAGGAAATAGCTTTATACTTTAGGCCCAATCTTTCAGAAGATTTCATGAATAATTGCAACTTAGAGTCAATCTTATTAAAAGAAAAAGCAGGGACTTATAAATTGCTCAACAAAGAATTCACTATCCAAACTGAGACTTCCTTCCAGTGCCCAACTGTAGAGTGTGACTTCAGAAGAGTGAAAAGTTTTATTGATGAGATCAATGTGATTTCTCACTCAACAACTAAAATTCCTGATTTAAAAAGAGATACTTTGGATAGCTTTAATAGGGAAGAAAATAGCAGCAAAGGTAAACCCTCATGCCTAATGTTTAGGATCAGATACTGACCGTAAAACCCATTGTAGTGTCAGACTTGAAGTAGGGATGCTAGAGGAAAATGAAAATTCAGAAATTTCTTCAGAGAGTAAGTCAACTAAAATTTTGACCAAACTAAATGTTTAGTTGGAAATAGAAGCGTGGATATTACCCCAAATCAGAGGAAACATTAGTGATAAGTTAATTGAAGAATAAAGAAGATCTGAATAGCTAATTATTGCTAATTCCCTTTTCTACTAGAAATATCTAAATTTCCATTCTTTCTTTAATAAATATTCATTTCACAGTAAAAGAGCCATGATAAAATAATAATTTCTACAGTTATATAAGTTAAAATAGCTAGCGATTCTGCTGGAACCAAGTGGCCCAACAATGAGTTTGGCGAAATAGGATGAACGAATATGTGGTAGTACCTTGGATTCTATTTCACCAAATCTGGATACTATCATCAGAAAGTTCCTTGCCTTCTTTAGTATCAGAAGTTCGAAAACTTCATTTTGATTAGCCCTCTTCTAACTTTAGGTCAGACTAAAAGTCAAGTAGAACTACCCCATCCTAAATTTTAACGAATTTCTGTGCTGAAATTTCCTCTAAAATACATTGCCTTTTAACTAATTAAATATTCCTTACTTTCAACCAGCCGAGGTTCATCTGGGGTTTTGGGGTTTTGGGGTTTTGGGGTTTTGGGG